GGATTCAGCTGCCCTAATCATCCGGTCATGGAATTGTCCCCCCCAGCACTTTGTTTTTCAGGGCAGGTAGATCACTAAAATTAGTTATTTTAGGCCAAATCGAAGGTTCTCAACTGAGGAAGATTTTGACTTTCATAGAACTTTTGGCAATGTCACAATCAGGGTCGGGGACACTACTGGTTTCTAGCAGGTAGAGGCAAAGAATGGTGTTAAACATCTTACAATGGGTGGGACGATCCCCCAAAGAATTATCCAGTCCCAAGTGTCAATGGTGCCAAGGCTGAGAAAGCAAACTCTGGGTCTTTGAGAATTATTTCCTCAGAATGCTGCATCTAAAGATCGATGATACGCAAACATTGTGCAATATGGCATTGATTCAGCTAAATGTTTTGGTGCGATGCTGGAAGCAGTCTGGCTGTGCAAAGTATTTTTGGGAATATTAAGAATGGAAAAGGCAGGACTAGCAGATGGTGTAATGGTTAAGACGCTACATTCCCACATAGTCGACTGTGGTTCAAGTCCCGGATCCGGTAGCCTAAACCACATACCAGATGCATGTGGGTGTGTGCCCAAAACCCCAAGAAGAGAATGGAGGACAAGGGACTGCAGCGTGGCCATTTTTCCCAGGGGGTGATTTCTCAGTTTCTGTCTCTCTGTCTCTCCCCGTCTCTCTGGCGAGCACACATGCCCTATAGCAAAAATCTAAAAAAAGAGGAAGAATGGAAAAGGCAAAAGGTATGATAACAATAATATAATACAGTGTATTGTACCTCAATAATCTCTTTTCATCCACGGTTCATACAGCATTTTATAAACTAGTAATAACTACACTGGTACTCACACTGCCTTTTATCTCGACCTCAGGCACTTTCACAACACTCTCACACCGTAGGAAGTACTATTATTATCCCCATTTTATATGTAAACAGAGGCACAAAAGTTAAGTAATGTGTCCAGAGTCACACAGGTCAGTAGTGGCCAATATTCCTGACTCAGAGTCTATTAATATTAAGAGAACAGTTTTAAGGGATGTAGTGACAACTTTATGTGACATAAGCATGATCCTAGCTCATTGGAAGTCTATTGTTTCCAGGTCACATTGTTTATTTAGATCTTCTCTTTCTTGCCTCTCACACGGTCCTTAGAGACTCTAGACTGTGCTTGATATCCTCTTAACAGAAAGCACTGTGTTTATTGAGTCCCTTCCTTGAATCAAGCACACTTTACATGCCTGCAATTTTTTTAAGAGTTTATTCTTAATTTTTTTTTTTGGCCTCAGGGTGTAATGTGCTTACTGAAGAGAGAGACAGAGAGAGAGACAGTGAGGAGGAAAGCGAAAAATCACACCCACACCCACCCCCTGGAGATGGCCATGTCGCAATCCTCTCTCCTCCATTCTTCTCTCAGGATTTTGGGTCCAGACGCACACGTGCCTAGCATGATTTTCAAGCCACAGGGTCCGGGATTCAAATGGTGGTCAGACATGTGGGAGTCCAGCCCCATGACCGCTATGCCATCTGCTGGCCCCTATGTGGCTGTCAATTCTTCTTTAAGAATTACTTTATTTATTTATTTACTCGTTTTATTTATTTATTTTATTTTGACCAGAGAGGGACAGAGTGCGAAAGAGAGAGAGAGAGGGAAAGTGAGAAAATAAGCCACCAGGTCTGGGACTTGAACCATGGTCAGCTATTTGGGAGTCTAGCACCCTTAACCACCACGCTAAACAGGAGCCCAGCAGATGGCAGAATGGCTACATTGTTGGACTCCCACATAGTCCACTGTACCTGGTGGCTTGAAACTCATGGTGGGCATGCGTGCGTGGGTGCCCTAAATCCAGAGAGGAGAATGGAGAAGGGATTGCAGTGTGGCCATCCCCCCAGCAGCCGATTTCTCACTTTCTGACTCTCCAGCAAGCTCATATGCCCTATAGGAAAAATTTCTCTAAACAAACAAACAAAAACAGAAATATAGCCCAAAATGTGCTGTCATTACTAATATTACAGTAACAAAAGTCAAGCTTGAGAGAATTTAAACAACATGCCCAAGATATTCTCAGGTACTTAAGAGGGGATCTTCCAAAAATTAATGGAAAATAGGTATTATGAATAAGCCATGCATGGATTCCAAAAAATTTTACACCCAAATAAACTTGTACTTTAATTTCATTTTTTGGTGAACTTCCTGAAGTTTTCTTGTATGCTTTGTACCCAGGCTGACTATATCTTCTTTCTACTCTATTTTGCAGCCTCTCTCAGAGAAAATCCTCTGATAGAAGTATATGAATATGTTTCATGCTCATTTCTCTCTCTCCTTTTAAAATTCCAAAACAAAGTAACAAATGTGCCATTGAAGAATTTCAGGTGTGTCCACATTGGTACTAGCTAGACCCATTAGTTGTTTTTTTTTTTAAGAATTATTTATCTAATTTCATTTATTCATTTATTTTATTTTAATTTGACCAGCGAGAGACACAGACAGAGAGAGGATGGGGGAGTGAGAATGCAAGCCATGAAGTCTGGGACTTGAACTGCGGTCAGCCCTGTGGGAGTGTCCAGCGTCTTAATCACCACACCACCTACTGGTCTCCAGCCCATCAGTTTTTTAAACCTATTCCCAAGGGAGTCCTTTAGTTTTTCCAAGTATTTTTCCAGCCCTCTCTCCAAGTTACCTCTATATTCACGTCAACAGCCAGACTAAAGCCCCGAGCTGTGGGATCTGGGTTCTGAGAACACAGAGCATGTGTGTCACTTTTTGTTCCCATTCCTGTTGCAGGCACACACTGCCGGCCTGCCATGTGCACCCTGGCAACACAGGACTAGAAAGGAAGATCTATGGTAGGTAGCAGTGTCACTCGGGCACTCTGTCTACTACATGAAGACCTGGCATCTATAGCCCAGGACAAAGAGGTGCCTTGGCATTACCTGGATATAGTGAAGTCAGTCTTCCTTAGGCGCCTGTCAGTTGTCACCCACCCCGCCTGGATTCCATAAATCTTAATGACTTGCATCTGCCAAGACTGACCCTTTGGCATGTGAAGGATGGAAAAATAGAGACAATCAGTCCCAGTTCATCTCAAGTCAGAATCAGGGCAGCTTTAGTACTTGGGTAGGGAGCTTTGCTGCTAAACTCAGTCTGTAAAGAGGAGGTCTTCGGTAGAGATGGGGTTAAGCGCCAAACTCTAAATAATATTGGGATCATCTCCCCCGTGGCAGACCATAAAGCCAAGCTCTGCAATGCTGGGAGCCACATGGAAGATCCTGCTTTGGTCTGGTCCCACTCTCACAGGCCATGCCCCTGCAGGTGAGCTTGGCCGCCTGGGAAAAAGGCTGGAGGTGGCAGCGTCTGGCCCTGTGGAAATTGCTTGTCTCTTGCACAAAACAAAAATGAACTTAAAAAATTGGGATCACAAATGCAATCGATTGTTGAAATGAATTCTGATTTCTCCTGCAAGCCTAAAATAGCAAACTCCTGATAATTCGCTGACATTTTAATCTCCTTTTAGGCAAACCTTTTTTTTTTTTTTTAAACCAGGATACCATCGACTTTTCTTAAAAGGAGGGTGCTGAGTTTGTTTGTTTGTTTGTTTGTTTGTTTCTATTCTCCCATTATCCTAGTACATCCAGAAAGGGGCAGCGACGAGGAAAAGGGACGCGTGGGCATTTTCCCATCCAGGCCAGTCAAGGCCTTGAATCATCAGAAGTCCATGGAACTTTCCCCCTCAGACGGCGGCATTTGAGACTTTCCCTTGAATTATCAGCTTATACTTAAAAGGAAGAGTGGTGGGAGACGAGAGGCGAAGGGAGCAGGGAGGAGGGCGTGGAGCGTCCTCCCGGCCCGGCCGGAGTCCGCGGCGCCCACAGGCCGGACGCCGC